AAGCCAAAATATGAAATAATACCTCACTGTTAAGAGACCAAAGCCAAGCAGTTTTTCGTTTTAGAGGCAAATTCTGCAAGGCATGCCATCCTCCAGTATCGCAAATCCTCAAAAGGAAAAAAAATGTCAGAAGAAATCTGTCTCCAAAAGAGAAAAGAAACAATGTTGGCAAGATGTTCACTTAACCTGTCCTCATAAAATTCACTGACCAAGGGTTTGCCAGTACCTCTGAACCACAGGCATCATATCATCTGGGGCAAGCGGATATGAAAACAGAAGCTAATGTCTGAGCATGTATGTGTATAAGGGCTTGATGGGTACTAACTCCTTTATTGCTAACAACCATATGAGGTATATACAGTTATCAGCTCCTTCCCACCCAACCCATTTTGCAGAAGAAAAAACTGAAGCACATATAGCAGTTTAAAAAAAAAAAACAAGCCTCACATTTTATATTCTAGTTGGGGAGACAAACAATATAGCAGTAGATAGAATTAGTACCTGCAAAGAGCTAACAAGAACCACAGATTTTAGAACGCTACTCTGGGTTGAGTGGTCAAGGAAGGCTGACAGGATGCAGCAATGCCAAGAAGAGACCCATCTTAGAAGCCAGGGTGGGGCAGGGACATGGTTCCCGGAAGCTCCAAAAGTCAGTCATCAAAAATCAGAACATGCCCCCCAGTGGTTCTGATTTCATAGCTTGGAGCTAGGCCCAGGCGAGGCTCCTAGCTGTTTCTCACCTGTGGGCCAGGGTTATGAATCACTGGTGCCACCACATAAGATCCAGGAAAACTGGCTCCTGATATCAACTGAAGGTTCCTTGCCTCAAAATTCCTATGTTGAAGTCCTAACTCCCTAATATGATGGTATTTAGAGGTGGGACCTTTGAAAATAATTAAGTTTGGATGAGGTCCTGAGGGTGGGGCCCTCATTACAGGATCAGTGCCCTTATAAGAAAGGACACCAGAGGTCACCTTCTCTCATTCTCTCTCCACCACGTGAGCATGCAGTGGGAAGGTGGCCATCTGCGAGCCAGGAAGTGGGTCCTCACCAGGAGTGGAGCTAGCCAACACCTTTATCTTGGACTTCCAGCCTCCAGAACTGTGAGAAATGAATCTGTTGTTTAAGCCCCTGATGAAGCTATTTTGTTATGGCGGCCTGAGCTAAGGCAGTTCCCAGGGGACTCAAAGCTGCTGCCTCATTCCTATCCCATGCATCTTGCAGAAGGACCCAATTGTTTTTTTCCATGCTTGCTCCTCACAGACCAGGAACTGAAAATCTAAGGCCTAGAGGCCCAGATCTCTGGGGAAAGATAAATTAATAACTTTTCCATAAACCTCAGTGGTCAAAAATGTTTTTTTTAGCTTCCTTACATTTAAAAAAGAAACCAATAGACATTTTCCCAAAAACATTCAGATGGCCAGACACACACAAAGAGGCTCAACATCAATCATGAGGGAAATGCAAATCAAAACCACAATGAGGTGTCACCTCGCAGCCGGCAGAGGGACTAATATCAACAAGACAAAAAATAACAAGTGTTGTTGAAGATGTTAAAAAAAAGAACCCTCCTACACTGCTGGTGGGAATGTAAATTGGTAGATATTCTGGAAAGCTGTACGGAGGTCTCTCAAAAGACTAAAAATAGAAATACTGCATGACCCAACAATTTCATTTCTGAGAATTTACCTGAACAATTTCTAATTCAAAGATACATGCACTCTTATGTTTATTACAGCATTATTTACAATAGCCAAAATATGGAAGCAACTTATCCATTGATAATAAAAAAGTTGCTCCATGTACACAATGGAATATCACTCAACCATAAAAAAGAATGAAATCCTGCCATTTGCGACAACATGGATGCCCTAGAGGGCATTACACTAAGTGAAATAAGTCAGAGAGACAAATATGATATGATTTCACTTAAATGTGGAATCTAAGAAACAAAACAAATAGACACAGAACAGGCTGGTGGTTGCCATAGACTGGTGGAGAGGGTTGGGAAATGGATGAAATAGTTTTAGGATTAAAAATAAGAAAAAGAAAAAAGAAACCAAACTGATTTTCAGGGAAATTGCTATGTAAAACCAACTCTTAGCCTTTATCCAACTGTCAGATACTTACTGAACACCTATGAAGTGACAGTGCTACCTGGCCTTTGGTGTGAGTGCAGGCCCCTGGGCAATCTCATCAGGATGCAGATTCTGGTTCAGTAGTGAGTCTGAGGTTGGCTCAGGCTCTGCAGGCCTAGCAAGCTCCCCGGTGATGCCCACCACACTGAATAGCAGCATTCCAGCCCAGTGAGCATCGGCTTTGGCTTCCTCGTGGAATCATGTGCCAAGCTCTTAAAATGTACCCACCTCTGGGCCCCACCCCAGACCGACAAAATCAGACATTCGAAATGCCCAGGCCACACCCAAAAAGCTCCTCAGTGATTCAAATGTATGGCCAGGGTTAAGAATCACTTTTCTGGGCATAGCAGGCAAAGTAGCTCTCAAGGGGGAACAGGCAATGAATAAGTAGTTTTTAGATGGTGAAACAGGTCATAAAAACAATACAGGGTAACATGATAGGTGGCGGGGGGCTTCAGCTGCACTGAAGTGGCTCCCACGGGGCTGCTGGCTGGAGCCCTCTGCTGTCCTCTTTCATCAAAGCTTTCTGTGTCGGGATTCTACCCTCTGTACTGGATCGTGAGCTACTTGGTGACATGAGTCGCCTATTACACTTGCTTACACTCCCCACCACAGGGCTGGACACAAAACGGGGGGTATGTGCTACATACTGTGAAATGGAAAGGGGGATGGATGTTCCCATGGCCCAGGACAAGGTAGCTGGAAGGGAAGCTCAGCCCCACCTGGGCTGTGAGGAGGGCATGGGATCTGGAGCCAGGAACCCAGGATGCTCCTGCCAGCCGAGAGATCGTGGGGAATCACCAAATGTCTGAGCCTCATGTTCACCATCTCTGCAAAAACACTAAGGATTAAAGTGTTTTTAATATTCAGAATGTATTTCCATTCCATCATCCACCAGTATTTACTGACTCCTTCTATGTGCAGCACCCCATTTTAGAAACAGCCAACATAAAGCCTAGTGTCAGTGTTAATTATTGCTAACAATGGTACCAATTTCCCTGTTTGCCCTCTCTCTGAAAGGCAAGGCCAGGTCTTCCTGCCCACAGGACTGGCTGCTCCATAGCTAGGAAAAAATTTTTGATCAGACAGTGCAAACGAAGATATGGGGCAACAATAGTGTATTAAAGACTCTGTCCTAAGAAACAGGGTTCTGTCTAAGTCTACATGCCCAGGCTATATGTGACAGAAGTCAGGAGGAAGGCACAGCCAGCCCAAGATGAGGGCACCAGAGAGATAGAAACCAGCCAAAAATGCACTAACCCTGATTCTCCCAGTGCAGCTGGGAGAATACTCTCTCCCCACAAACTATTCTCCTTGTGGATGGTGCTAAATCTAGGGCCTCAGATTCCTGGAGTGAGAGGATAGGCCCCAACTCTATTCCCTGGCCTTATACATGTCAGTCCAGCACATGCAGCCACTACAGCTGGTTGATGGAAGATGTACTGGGCTAAGGTTAAAGGTCAGGAAGGGCACCATGCCACAGGTCATCAGGCTGTCCAAGTTCAAAGGGAATCCCAGCAGCTTCTCTGCAAGCTGCACGTGCACACCCCCTCCAGGCCCCACATGGCCTTCTCAGAAAGCTTCTTGAGGGGAGGGAAGTTGATGATGTAGTAAACCGGCTTTGAGGGGGGGCCCTGCCTCCTTCCGCCATGGATTTAACCCAGCATTTTATTCACACAGGCCTAGGTTCCAGTGCCAGCTTCACCACTGACAAGTTTTATGACTTTGAGCAGCTCATGACTCCTCCCTAGATATTTCCTGACCTATAAAATGCAGATAGCCTAGTAAACAATGTTCTTCATGTAATTGTAGATTAATGATACCAAAATTAAAAAAAATGCAGATAGGATCTGCCTATGGAAACAAGACATGTGAAGACTGTCACCCAAACCTGCATCTTTGCCATGGGTTTCCATTTCCTTTTACTTACAGCCCCGTGCAGAGCTTTACCCGATTCTTCCTACAACCCTGGAGCAGTCAAATTCTAGTTGGCCCATTTCACAGGTGAGAAAACAAGAGTCCTAAAAAGATCATATGACTTGCCCAGAAACTCGTTAGAAAAGCCATGTGGTTCCCATCTGTAATAAATCCTCTCCGTTCCCAGAGGGCCTTTGAATATACCATCCTACTGGATCCTTCTCATGAAGAGCCCCAAGTGTTGGAGCCAGAGCTGAAGCTCAGGACTGCCCTGGGCAGCTACTTGGTGACAAGATTAGCCTCGATTCCTGAGAATCGTTTACACCCATTTAAGCAAAACCTGCATATGGCAGGAGAATAGATGAGTCCCTACATCTCTGGATCCCTATAGCCTCTGACCTCCGAATTCTGAAGGGGAACATCAAAGCTGTCTCCCAGGGCAAATAGAATCCATGTCCCGAGCTGGAACATTAATTACCCTGGGACCTCCCCTTCCAGGGAAAAGGACCCCAGCCCTGCAGGATTCCCCTGCACTGGCATGTCACAACCCTGCTGGGTCATCCCAAAGTGCCATCTGCCCAAGCAGCTGGATCTGCTGCCTCTGGAGCTCCATCCCATGGGTACAGTGAGCAACAGAGAGCAAAGACACCAGAGAAACAAAATCAAGAGAGTTGGGGAAACACGGAGCCTTTAGGAGCATTTTGAGAACAAAAAGTGAAATGTTAAAATGATTGAATGTGACCTTTTCAGTTATTGGATAAAGAAAAGTCCTTGAGTTGCTTAGAAGCACAACAATACTTCAGCATTGAATGTCTTACAACTACCCTTTCCCATCAATGTTCATAGCACCACCTTTCTCAGCTCTGGCTGCTAACTGTCCACATAAGCCCCACCTCCCGGTCAAGCCAAATGCCAGAGGCGTGGAGGTAGAGAGCTATTTCTTACCAGGATCTGTGCAATTCTTAGCTGTCTGAGTCCCATTCACTGTTGCCATCAGCTTTCTATTTCTCCAGGTGTCTGGTAGAACATACTTGCTAGCAGAAGCAGTTTTGTGCCCTGGATTGGAAAAGAAATCACAGAGACCATTAGGTCAATGTGGTGGCTGCATTCTTGAAATAACCTTACATATCTGTGCCTCATTATGTCAGCAGCAGCCCTGTTTCACTAGAGCCACCTGTAGAGAGTGATACAATGATTGGGAGAACATCACCTGCTTACACACAATAAATCTGTTTCCCAGATCCATTTCATTGTTTCTGGTCCTGGATGGGTCAGCTTGTGATCTGACCTTGGCCAAGATCATGCGGCCCCTCAGGTGCAACAAAGGGTTTAGATAGGTGCCCATTAAGTCCGTGTCTAGTAAACACACTCAGGTGCCTGTGCCCTGGAGAACTACAAATGGATATGCTAGCAAGCAGGTAGAGAGGGTTAATGGGGTCTGGCCCAAGGCTTCTCACCCTTGAATGTACACACAAATCACCTGGGACCTTGTTAAAATGCAGATTCTGATTCAGTAGGTTGGGGCTGGCACCAGTATTTCCATACTAACAAGCTCCCAGGTGATGCTGACTCAGATGGTCAAGGACGGTACTAACAAGGGAGATCATTGGTGTGGATGCCAATGAGCAAATGCAGCTAAACCCCGATTCCTGACCCAGCAAATAAAAATGATTCTCATTTTAAGACCCTTAGAGTATTCATTTACGTCTCCTGATGCACACTCTACTTCAGCTGTGTAATACCACCTCTTCTATAATGCTGACATCTAAGAGCCTCTAGGTATTTTGTTATTTCTGGTGTGTAACTGAGGGGGAAAAATCTACCTGATTTACCCAATTGCAAAGCTCCAGGTACTAAGATGCTCAAATAATCTTTCTGGGTTTCTGTTGGAAAGAGCCACTTTTTCACCTTACAGCCTCCAATTACAAAATTTGGGTGTTAAAAGGCAGTATCTTGGGTTTAATCAAGTTCCACCTGATTTTTGCCTACCTATCACTATAAACCTCTCTAAACTGTCCCTTTCTGATCGCTCAGGAAGGTACCACCTGCTTTATCTCCATATCCAAATTGTTAAGTCACCTGTATTTCATTTTTTAAAATGTGAAAAGCAAATCTAAAAGGTCCAGAGTATCCAACTGAGAATGGGACTACTGTCCAAGTGAATGTCTTGGGAAGGTTCCACATGGACCCAAATCGCCCCTCCACCACCAAAATACATTTTTTAAACTTTCTTCTCTCTACCTCAGATTTGCATATCCTAAGCGACTCCCAAATCCCTTGAGTGGATGAAGGAGTGTGGACTGTGGCTCGACACCAGGGCTTCCCTACAGTGGGGATTGAGAGAGAAGTGATGCTGAAACAGGCAGCAACCTCCAGAGGGGACAGACTACCCCCAACGCGTTTAGGGCTTGGGGAGGACATATTAGGCCATCCAGGGAGCCTCTTTGGCAGGGGGGAGCAGAGGGCTGAAACCCAGTTCCCAGCTTCAGAATCTGGATTTTCAGGGACACGGAACACAACCTTCTCCCCTCGGCAAAACTGGAGAAAGGACCACTCAGTTTCGTTCTCCCGCGGCCCCCGCCACTGCTCTGCCCATTCCCCGCTAGGGAGACAGACCCTGGCACCGAAGAGCCAGCGGTTCAGGCTTTTCGTCTTAGTAACGCAGACCTGCAGCCGCGTCCCGAGCCCCCAGAGGCCGCGCGCAGCTCAGGGGAACGGGCGCCGCGGCTCAGAGCGTCGCTGTCAGCCCTCCTGGGTGCGCTCTCCCTGCCGGGTGGGGAGGCGACTGGAGGAACCCTTGGGACCAACCTGACGCGGAAGGAAAGGGAGACATCTCGGAGCTGCCCGGCGGCTTCCAGCCCAAGACCCCAACTCCCGGGGGGACCGGCCCGCACCGGCACCTACCCAAGCTGCCAAAGAGGCCGGACGCACAGCACACCAGGGCCAGCACCGCGCACACGAAGCCAACTTGCTGCGGCAGCATCTCTCGCCTCCTGCGAACTTTGCGCGGCCTGGGGGCCCGGTGGAGAGCCATCCCGGAGCGCCCGGGCGCTGTCCCTGGGAAAGGATGGGGAGCTTTGGCGGCCGGAGTGGTATCTGGCTGAGAGGCGCTGGGGCTGCAGCGGGCGACGCTAGGCTCAGAGGCGACAGGCTCCTGGTCAAAGCCAAGCCTCCTGGCCCGCGGGCGAGGTCGGCTCGGAGCCGAGAGGGAAGGGGTGGTGGGGGCGAGCAGGGCGGCCGGAGCTCAGAGTCCCGCGCGCGGCGTGCACGCCCCACACACCATGGCTCTGTGGCGAGGAGGCGACTCCGGCACGGTGGCGCTGGCGCAGTCCCGGCGCTGGAGCCGCTACCTGCCCGCTCAGCCTCGCAACGACGCTCGCGGGCTCCCGCCCGGGGCAGTCAGGGAGCCCCCGCGCCCCGCGCTCCCACTCTCAGCATCCTCCCGCTCCAAGTTTGGCGGCGACTGGCCGCCGGCGGTGCTCGGGGCGGCCCGGGGTGCTCGGGGGAAGGCGGGCTGGAGCGCGCGGGACCTGCAACCCTCGCGACGGGCGGCTGGACGTCAGCCCTCCCGGGGCCAGCTCTCCCCGGGAACTTTCTCTGCCGCTGCCGGCGCCTGCGTGTGCGAGGCCGTGGCGCCTCCCGCCGGCGCTCGCCTCCCCCTTCCCCCGCCCCTCTACCCCCGCCCCAGCACGCGCGCTCCTCCCCTGGGGCGCCCTCGCCCGGGAGCGCCTCCTGCCCCCGCGCGGCTCCGCTGCTGACCAGTGTGATCGCCTCCCGCCCCGCGCTCCCCTGGGAGCCCGAGCGAGCCTCTCCCGCGGCTGCTGCCGAGGGGAACACGCTATGGCGCCACAGGGGCTCCCGGAACGAGGGTTCCTGCAGTGGGGTCGCTCTGCTCCAGGCTCCCCACGACCCCTGAGGCCCGAGAAGATAATTGCTCGAGCCGAGCTAACAGAAACAGGCTTGCACCAAGCCAACAGGCGCCAGCGCCCGCCGGGACCCGCTCCTGCAAGGCCCTGGGACGAGTTGGGGAGCCGGGGCGCACGCCGACCGGCAAAACGCTCGCTCCCCGCAGAGAAGCCCGAAGGTCCTGCGGCCCCGCCGCGGAGTCTTGAGCTTTTGGTGTTCTGGGAAGCCTTACTTCTCAGGGCTTTCTGGTTTGTGTTTGATTTTGTTTTCCTCCTTCTCTCTGATGGCTCTCTAGTATGAACCGCTTTTAAATGGGGCAGGAGGGAGAATTTCAGAAGAGCAGCAGCTGAGGTGTCAACAGTTGCGAGCAGGTGTGCGGGGCTTCGGAGGGAGGGCCTCACTGCCCAGAAGGTAGTGGTCAGTTCATCGGGCCCCTAGTGACGACCTGGAGGGGTTAAGTTCACTTAAAATCCTTTTTGGAGCAAAGCCAGATCTGTTTAATTAAATAAATACCCACCGTGTGCGGGGACCTGTGCCGAGTGCCAGCCAGAGAACAAAACAGAGCAACCAAAAAAAAAAAAAAAAGAATGGTAAGATCCAGCTCCCATTTTCAAGGAACCCTAAACCAAAGGGGAGCCAGACGCTGATAAATATTCAGACGGGCAGTTCTAAAAAGTCTCTGTTTTGCAGAAAGTGCACTATTCCCTCACTACTCAAAATATGGTCCAGAGCAACATGAGCATTGCCTAGGATCTTGCAGGAAATGCAGGCTCTAAGGTTCCAGCCCAAATCTACCAAGTCAGAATGTGCATTTTAAGACAGACCCTTTTTTTGTATGCATTCAAGTGTAAAGCATGGCCCTTTCAGGTCTGTCCCAATGGCCCTAGCAGGTCACCATCTGCACAGTTCCCCTTGGACTGAGTAAGCAAGGAGAATTTTGCTTGTGTTACCCTGGCATGGTGACCCAGGTAAGAGGTACCTACAGGGCTGGGGGAGGGAGAAGCCTCACTAGTTATTTTCAGCAGCCCTGCCTCAGTACCCACAAAGATACTGAAGGCATGAACACAGGACTAATTGCAGTGGAAACGCCTAGTGGAAATGAAATGGAAAAGGCCAGGGCTCTGTTTTGTCTGTAGAGACACTTAACCGTGGAGGTTCATCCTCCATGTTGGTGACCTGTACCAAACATGCCTGCCAGAGAAAAAAAAAAAAGGCCCTTTTCATATCTTTGCAGAATTTTCTTCACACTGACTCGGCTGTACAAGGATGCATTTATCAATAGCAAATATAGAACCACATAACAGTATTAAATATGTCACTGGGAAAGCTAGCCAAGGGCCTTTGGCATCAAATTGAAGCCAAAGCGAAAAGTTAGAAGTGATATTGTGCTATTGTCCCATCCATAAAACAGCATTAGGGTCCCATTGGTTAAAGTAACTCCAGTGAACAAAATGGCATCTTGTTACTTGGATTTAATATTTTCTTAAAACTTTGTCCATGAGCTTATCCAAGGCCAGTGAAAATAGAAATTTTTGAATCCAAAACAGGTCAATGGAGTCATCAGGTGTCTGTCTTTAAACATTTAGCCAGCTCTTTAGCAGAACATTTCTTTGACAGCTTTCACCTCAGCTAATAGTTAGCACCTTGGAATAATTTTGCATGCACAAATGGATTCCTGTTATTTGACAGTTTAAAAAGCAATTCATTTGAAATTGTACTTTTTGCTTCATTGAAATTGTGCCCCTTACCAAATAGCCTCTGCTGTGGCTCTAATAACTCACCCTGCAGAAAAGAGCATTGGGTTTTATGTGCCTTTCAGATTGAAAGCATTCTGGAACATTTTCTAAGTCAGCAAGGCTGTGGACAAGTGGAAAACACATTTCTGGGTTTATCTGAGGCCCTTGATCTGGCTTCACTGCCATTGGACTCGGAGTATGCCTTCTGTGACAGTTTTCTTCTGATGTGACATAGCAGAAAACCACCCAAAACCAGTTCTGGCCATTTTGACAGAAGACTCAGTCCATGGGGATGCGTCCAGTGGTTTTTTTCCTTACAGATTCTTTGCTCTGGCCATTTAAATAGTCTTCATTCTCCATTTTTTCAAGTTTACTAGAATGACCTCGTTGCACTCTAATTCCTCCTGTTCTGCCTTTCTGATGAGTCTATGAGTCTAGCCATGAGTACCAGCCACAACAGAGGGTCTCAAACTTGAGTGTGCCTCAGAACCCCCTAGAGGGCTTGTTAAAGCTCAGATTGCTGAGCCCACCCCAGGGTTTCAGCTTTAGTAAGTCTGGCATGGCACCTGAAAATTTGCATTTCTAACAAGTCGCCACATGAACCTAATGTGGCTAGTCTGGGGACCATACTTTGAGAACCGCTGAGCTAGGTTATGCTATGGCGACAGTAACAAACAACAGTAAAACAACAAAAGTTTGCTCCAGGGTAGTAGAGTATACCACCCCGGCTTGTGCTACTTTGGCAAAGGGATTATTTTTAGCTGAAGGCAAATGAGAAGAAGCAGATACAAGTAAATCCCTCTTCCCTTGTCCTGTTTGCCTAAAGCAGTACTTGAATGTGTAGAGATATTTCCCCCTCCGTTTTCCACCAGGAAGGCAGAAGTTAACCACTGGTGATAGCTTAGATCCTGATCAGCCCAGAAACAGTACCAGAGGACTCTATCTAACAATCTTTGATAAAACTAGCCCTTATCTACCACTAGTTGCCCCATATATTTGCCTTCCCACAATTTGCCACCCCTAGAAGCTCAAAGTGTTTTCCCTTTGTCTTATTACTTCTCTAAAACTGAATTGTTCTTTTGTTAGATGTTAGACAAGCCCAAGTTCTAACCACCCCTTTGAGCTGCTCATTACTAGATGCTCTCAGGTGTACATGTGATGTGCATATTAATAAACTTGTTTGTGTTTCTCATTGATCTGTCTTTTTTTGGTCTGATTTACAGGGCCCCAGCCAATGATCCTAAAATGGTTAGAGGAACACAGTTTTTCTTCCCCTACACTTTTTGTCTATCCAGAGGCAGTTCCTCAAGTGCCTGGGAGCAGCCACAGACTTAACCACTGCTCTTGCCATGTCAGAGGGAAGGAAGATCTCAGGAGGAACTTGCAAGGCAACTGAATACTCTGGCCTGGAAGTGACATGCCCACTGGTACCTACCACTCATTGGCTGCAGCCGGACATCTGGCCCCACTAAACCACCAGGAGGTCCACAAGGCAGTTCTTCCCCTGATGGCTGAGACCTGAACTCTGTAGTGGACAGCCCCAGTGATGGTCACACCAATGCAAACCCTGTCCCTCTTCCTTGCTTTCTAGGGCCTTCCCTGCTTGGCCTTTCCCCTCCCTAGTAGGGTTGGTCCAGCTTGTTCCAAAGCCCCTGGCATGCATCTCCAGTATAGCACTAGCATCGCACGGCTTTGTGGTATGAGTGAGGGCAGCTGTCTCCTCCTGGCAAGTGAGGACTTTCCCTCTTATCCTTAGTTCTGAACATAGTGCCCAGCACATTAGGTGCTTAATAAATAAAGCAGATAGGGAATGAATACATAAAACACATTTTGGCTACAGTGTGAAGAAGATAAAGAACAGCTGCCCCTGTGAAGTGGTGCCGCCTCTTCCCATCACTTTGGCACTACCCCAGTTTCCATTCATCCTCACTGTCAAGGTCACCAGTGACTTGTGGATACACTGCAGCGGAATCTGACACTGCTGAATGCACCCTCCTTGTAAAGGGCACATCCTTACCTTTCTGGACAGTATGTGCTGACCGCCTTCCTCTTCCTTCTCTGACCAGGCCTCTGTGCCTCTGTTCTTAGCTCTCTTTTCTTCTTGCTCTTTGCCCCTCTTTCCCAAAGCACCTGTCAATACTCTGGCTGGAGTTATTTGCTGCTGATTCAGAAGTCTGCAAATGGAGCCTTTTCAGGAATCTGAACTGCAGGTTCGGGGGATTGCCCACGTTGGGAATCTGGGCCTCATCTTCCCACCTCTTCCCTCCCACTCCAATGCATCCTCACTTAGATGACGCCCCCTCCTTTCTGTCCTTATTGACACCATGGGCTCTGTGCTTCTTAACCAGTGTCTCTAAGCCCAGTCTTTCTACCACATTCCTTTCTCCAACCAGCAGCTAGAGTAATCGTTCTGATGAAA